ACCTAAATACCATAATGAGTAACTTTCTTGGCCATTATTTTGGTATTTGATCCTATTAGTATAATTTAATTTAGCATTCGGTTCTTTTTGTTCAAGTAAATTAGTTTGCGTGGTATTTATATATCATGACTAGTAAAAGAGAGATTATTTTTTAGATTACACGGAAAGAACAATTCATATTGAAATTGTGGATTAATTATTTATTAGCGAAAAACGTGTGGGATATGTTAGTAGAATTATTTATATTACAAAACCGACAAATACGGATAATGAAAATTTTGAAAAACAACTACTAAAATATAAAGTTGATAATGAAATATGAGATTGCAAATTATTAATTTGGAATAACATAACATATCAAGAATTCGAATTTAAAGCTTTATTTTGGTATTGGATAAGCCACATGTTACTTTTTCTAAAGTTTAAGATTTCATCCTACGTACTTCTATTTAAATTTTAAAAAAAATTCACCATTATTTATGTAATCTTCTTAAATATGTTTTCAACTCTTTTATAAACAAAAATTAAAGATAACGTGTACTCTTAGAAACMGTTCAAGTTATTTTGTCACGTTGGATTTAGTTGTCTAGTGACAACCATTGAATGGTGCGGAGCATTCAATTGTGTAAAACTATTAAAATAGTTTTAATAATTTATTTTTATTGCATTTGATTTTTTTTGAAAAATTATTGTATTTAATATATATATTTTAGTACAATCGGTACGAATTAGCGATCGAACTTACAACTTCTTGATATGAAATATATGTCAATTGAATTATGTTCGTTTTGGCAATTAACACGTATAAATACATATTTTATATTCGAATTAATTTATTATGTTATTCAGGCAGCATATTGCATATTTTCTTAATCACAATATTATAATAATTAATTGCAGTACTATAATTTAAATAAAAAATGGGTGTGGAGTTGAAACCTACCATTCAGACAATGACCTATTCAATAATCCACGTGCATGACTTAGGTGTTACACATGATGAATAATTTGGGCCAAGTATTTTAGCCAAATTCTTCTACACCACAAGCATATGTATCATTAATTAGACAAAAGATAAATCTTTTGCCTTAATTTTGAAATTATGGCTTTGATTATTCACCACGTCAATTCCGACTTATTCCAAAATGTGTTTCTTTTATTTTTTTCTCTTTTCATTTTTCTTTCGACAAATATTATTTTAAAGTACAATTAAAAAATCCTCCACTAAATTATTAAAAAAAAAAATCAACTATCCAATTTTTAATTTGAATAATATAGTTAACTTATGAAAGAAGATATTTCTTAATTTTTCGAAATCTATGCCTTATGACTTTTACTAGTAGATCCCGAACTCAAGACTTATAATTGGTACTCCAAATTCCCAACGTTTGTTACTGTACCATCCAATGATATTAAAGAGAGAATTTAGTAATGGTTGGGTTGAAATATTGTTTAAGTTTTATATGTTTGCAATTTGTAATGACAATTGGTGGCATTGACTTTGGTGTACAAAAAATTGTGAAATGATCTGCCGGTGGGAATATGGTATTATATAAATGGCTAATTTATAGAGAATTTGTAGAAAAATTTGTATTTCACATGTATCACGTGTATGGAGCTCTCAGCAAAGCATAAAATAAAAAAAGAATCCACGTGCTTATTTACACAATTCTAATTTATCATTGAAGCATTATTATTATTTTTTCTTGATGAGCTGGTCAAACACGGCAACTTTGTTCTTTCTCTCCTCATATATTTTATTTTATTTTATTTTTAAAAGAATCACGTAAGTCTAAGTCAATTTTTTTTATAACATTGATATATGATGAAAATTCGAATATTTTTTGATTATGATAAATTATAGTGAAGTGGGCTACTTAAAAGTAAAATCAATTAAACTTAATTTTTCATTTTTAATTCAATTAAAACTTAAACCTTTATTGTTTTACTTTTTAGATATCTATATTTAGCCATCTTGGTATGTACATTATGTGATAGGCTGTGCATATATTGTCATATTGGTTCTAAAAGAAAAATATCTATAATATATTAAGTAAAAGCAACATCTTCACAAAATAAATTCACGTAGATTTAGATTTACGGTAGATTAATATCATATTATCAATCACAAAAGTATGAGACCTGTTCGCTGACCTGGGTTCCTAAATACACTATATCTTATCTATTCTTGTATGAATGGTGCTAAAGATTAAAACAAAACTTTTAAAAAAATTATTAACGAATTTAGTTTTAGCAAAATGAAAAAAAGGGTTCGTAACTGATTAAAATTAAACTAGATTTTTTATCTTTTAAAGTTACGAATAAAATTAAAAATATTTATAGTTAATTGGTCATAAATTATGAATTCTGTTTAAATAATCACATCACTTATGTTGGTTTAAATATTAGTTTGGTTGATAGTTTTTAATTTTGTTCATTTTAGTTCTTATATTATATTTGACGTCTATTTTTATCTTTATATTTTCATTTACTTTTTACGTTAGGTTTTTTATTGATTATAATTTTTTTAGTCCAATCCGTAGGGGTGGGGATCGAATTTACAGCCTCTTGGTTGGAGATATATGCAAGCTATGCTCGCTTAGAAATTTGATTATAAAATTTGTGTTAAAAAATTAAAATAGTTACTCTTTAACGGTATAAAAAATACGTTTTAGAAATATTAAAATGAACAAAAAAAAATTATGGTTTTAAAAGCAGAGTACAGAAATGAAGAAAACAAAAAGTGAAAATAGTATTTAATCCAATTATTTAAAACGTTACGATGAGGAGGGCTGGCCCAGACCCAGGCTGTCTTTATAASCAAAGTGAAGTAGAAGTAGAATTTGTTCATTGAAGCCAATCGAAAATGTCGGACGCCTCCGGAGTGACCGTTCTCGCCCTCACGCCGGCATCCAAAGCCGACGCCAACTTCCACAGACCCACCGAACTTAAAGCTTTTGACGATACTAAGGCCGGCGTCAAAGGCCTAGTCGACGCCGGAATTGCTGAAATTCCGCGCATCTTTTACCAGCCACTGGACGATAACGACTCCGGCAATGTTTCCGGCGAAACCCACCACTGTATTCCAGTGATAGATCTCCACCACGTCGACAAAGATCCCCTCCAACGCGAAATTGCCGTCGAAAGAGTCCGAGAAGCTTCAGAGAAATTGGGTTTCTTCCAGTTGATCAACCACGGTATTCCGGTGAGCATTCTTGAAGAGATGAAAGATGCGGTTCGGAGATTTCACGAACAGGACACGGAAGTGAAGAAACAATATTACACACGGGACCCCACGAAGCCCCTGATTTACAACAGTAATTTCGATCTGTACAGCGCAGCGACCGCCAATTGGAGGGACACGTTTGGGTATGTAAGTGCCCCAAATCCCCCCAATCCGCAAGACTTGCCCGAAATTATCAGGTAAAAATTTGCTGATCTTTGGACCAAAACAGACAAAATTCCAAAAGTTATATTAATTAATTGAATATGTGGGTGTGCACTGCAGAGACAATCTGGTGGATTACTCCAAACGGGTGATGGAAATTGGGAAATTGCTGTTTCAATTGCTGTCGGAGGCTCTGGGGCTGAACCCAAATTACTTGAATGACATAGGGTGCAGCGAGGGGCTTGCAATTGGGTGCCACTATTACCCGCCATGCCCACAGCCCAAATTGACCATGGGCACATCCGAGCACAGCGACAATGTCTTCATCACGGTGCTGTATCAAGACCACATCGGAGGCCTTCAAATCCGTCACCAGAAAAAGTGGATCGACGTGCCCCCCGTCGCCGGAGCGTTGGTGGTCAACATTGGAGAACTTATGCAGGCAAGTCTCTGTGTTTTATGTGTGTAATTGAATTCAAGGGATTTTTTTTGGGTAATTGTTGGGTTTTGTTTTGGATTGCATTTGCACTTGCAGCTAATAACAAACGACAGATTCATAAGCGTGGCACATAGGGCTGTGGCAAAGAAGGAGGGTCCGAGAATTTCAGTTGCGGGGTTTTTTTCTACGCTTTTTCTTCAAAACTCAAAACTGTATGGACCCATAAAGGAACTGTTATCGGAAGAGAATCCTCCCAAGTACAGAGAAACCACCATCAGAGACTTCCATCTCCAGTTTCGTGAAGATGGTCTTGGGACTTCTACTCTGCAGCGCCTCAAGCTTTGAGCCAAAAGCTGATGTTTAATATTGCATAGAAAAACGTATAGTTTTGATACTTACAAATTTGCAATAACTATGTGTGCAGTGTGTTCTATGTTTGTTTGAATGTGTGTTTGAGAAAAGTGCTGACCAGTCATCGTAGTATTGTTCTTATAATAGAATACAAGGAAAAGATTTGGCTCTTAAACTTAAATAGGAGGCACCTTTTTTATGATATCATTGAAAAGTTTTTCTTTTGTTTTTGAAATTGTTAAATATTTAATGGTGTTAAGGAATAAGTTACTTTTCAACYTTAAAGAACTAAGTTTTTCTATAATACAATATCATGTATGCTTGAGATCCAGATTTGGAATGGTAACATGTGCAACCAATAGTTGTGATTATGATTAAGATAAAAGTCATGACCATATACTCATCAATCCATTCAATATTGCGTCGTGTGTCATTGCTTTTATCCCAACTAATTCTATTATACAACTACTGTAGTACAACATTTAATTATTAAAATAATTTTGATATGTAGATATAAATGTATATTTAAAATCAAACTAATAAAGATAGATTAAGACATAATATCAACACATTCAACTTCCAAAAGCATCATAATCTCCAGCAACGACTCCTCTAGCCATTCACCATAACTCAGTCCCTTGAATTTTTTATTGTAATTCCAATACCCACTTCTCCTGTACTCTTGATGAAAGCCACATCTATATTGCTTTTATAAACTCCTTCGAGGGAATTCACTCTATAATCCTTCTTCTCATTTTGATAATCTAAAGATGGCTTTTTTAAAATAAGCTTTTCGAGAAAAGTGTAATTTTACCGTACAAAATGTGTAAACTTTCTAGAATTCTGAACCTTCTTAGGTTCCTTTTTTTAGTGACATTGTATGCTCTAATAATACAATGCTAAATTGATTAAATTATTGAACATGTATTATGAAATTGTGCATTAACCATGCTATATTATTGACAGATAATTTGTATTTGACTTTTCTTGGTGTTTTTTAATCAACTAGGTGGACAGGTGTTGGTGACTCAGCTCAAGTCTTTTTATCCAACTCATATGGGTATTTTTACCCATCCAAACAAATTCGATTCGGGCTTTTTATTCAACTGGGCCTTTACCCAAGAAGTTTGTTATGCCACCTACAGATAAACGGTTGTTGGGGTGGCAGAGTGTGGTGCAGAGAGAGTGAGAGAGATTGCAAAGAGAGAGCCATTTTTGTAATAGGGTGACAAATTCTTCTTCCATCCTAGGTTCTGATTTTTTCAATCTTTCTGGAATTTTTGTGGGAGCTGGGTACTGTCCAAGAATTGGTGTTTAGTGGCTGTAAATCTCCATGGGAGTGCATGAAGAATAGAAGCACTGATTTGAAGAGAGTGTTGCTTCGATTCTTTGTTTGAGCTGYTGATTTCTTGATCATTGTTTAATAGATGGCCTTCAACAGTGGATGTAGATCTTCTTGATCGAACCACTTTAAATTTGTGTGTCCATCTCTTCCCTTAAACTCCTCTGTTTTCATCTTTATCGTTCTTTAATTTTGTTGAACACTGTTTTGGTTGGGCTGCTGTTTAAGATTAAACTTGTTAACTGTTATATTAGATCTTCTATTAGCAAATTAGATCTAATATTGTTTATCAAACCATTTAAAAATCATTTTTTAAAAGTTATTGTTACCAATTATTATATAATTTTAAGATAAGTGTACATATAGCAATCTAGCACAAGGCTTCTTCTTTTTTTTTTTTTTTTTTGTGTGTGGGTGTAAATATAGCACAACTTTTGAAAAAAACAAACTATTAACTTATTTCAATCTCGCACCTCTCTATTAGGGATGATAAATGTGTTTGAATTGTTGATAGCTGTGTGATAGACCTTTTTTTCTCCCTTCTAATGGAAGGAAATAAGCCTTTTTCTAAAACATAGATATTATTGATAAAATCCCTCCACCCTACAAAATTCTTATATTTGTAAAATATTATTCCATGGGCTATATTTATAAATATAACAAAACTATTTGCGGTCGATTATAATTTCTCCATAAATTTTGCAGCCATCTCACATGAATAACATACAAATGGTCCACTATATTGGTGTTGGAAGAAATATATACATGCAGTAATATAATATTACTAGTTCTTAAACAAGAGCAATTCAACACCATCTAATTAGAATTTTCCCCTTCCAAAATATGAACAAGTCACACTTCTATCAATACAATAAAGAAAATACGAGATAAGGATAGAAAACAAATGCCAAAAAATATACTGGTTCATTCCAAGTTCAGAGCTATGTCCAGCCTTCTGCAATATGCAGCTTCCACTGTAATGGGAATACTACAATGGTCTCACTTTCGCTAAAACGTTCTCTAGATGCTATAACAATAGCCACCTAGTTTCTAAGCACTACAACAATAGTTACTTAAGAATACAGAATGAAAAACCTCATAAGAATCACGAGAACGAACTACCGAGGACGCTCTACGGACCAAGATCTCGTTTTTCCCTCTTCCTCCGCCGGTAAAAATGGCGCCACCAGCCTCCCTCTTTTGCTTCTGTTTTTCTCTCGGGTGGGTGGTAAAATAAACTTCATATATATTTAAAGAAAGAGGGCAACAAACTTAATGGAGAAGAAAGATAATAATTGGGCTTTTATGTGTGTTTGGCCCAATAATCAATATAGTCCAGGTTCATATCATTTGAACCACACACATTAAAGTGAAACTCATCTGCACATGGAAATGAAACCATTATAATGTGCTAGAACTCAACATTTACTTGGAAACAGTACAACCTACGTGAAATCATATAAATTATTTCTAAAACGTACTGCTTTTAAGATTTATTTTTCCTTTATCTTTTTTTTTTTTTTCAAATAGTACATCAGTGATCTCCAATTTTTAATCGTACCTTTCAACACTAAAATTTGTTAACTTTTATGGGAGTTTTTTTTTTCAAATATTATTAAAATATTACAATCTTAGATTTATTTTAAAAAAATTAAGCCCTTCTTATCTACTGAGACAATATCTTTAATTGACATTCGTCTCTTAAATTCTATTCGAAAGACGACATGCAGTTTCGTAAAACATTATTATTATTTTTTTAAATATGTAATATGTCGTTTCTGCGTATGAAATCTTATATGTCAAGAGAAAGATATGTGAGAATTTTTTTTCAAATCCGTTGAAACCGTCCATTGTTTTTATTTCTCCTTGTTGTCTCAACTCTCAAGGTTCTTTTTTTTTTTTTTTAATATTTGAGAAAAGGTGAGGAGATCGTGAAGAAAGAGGAACCTGGTGAACTTAATTCTTGGAGAAAGAGGTGGGGAGATGTTTTCTCATAAATATTTGAAACAATCTTTACTTGATTAAAGTTATCAAATTAAGTCCAAATCCAAGCTCTTTCCTCAAAAATATTTTTGGCTAACTCGAAGTCGAGGTGTTGGATTTGTAAGACGATTACAAACAAAGTCCTGAATGATCATAGGTATATAAGAGAAGACAATTATCTTCACTGGTATGATGCCTTTTGGGTGGAACCAAAAGCAAAGTCGTGAGAACTATACCTAATGCGGACAGAGATACGTAGGACACCCTTGTCCTTGACGAGGGAATGATCATGGCTATATCTGCGGATTGGATTTTCACACTTCTTATTTATACTTAAATGTAATGACCCTGCAGTAGCCCGCTTTTGTTTTCATCATTTCTTCATTTCCCTCTATTATTCTGATTCGTCCCGACTTGTTTCGAGGTTGATTTGGCTCCATAATCTCGACTATTATAAATTTAATGTTTAAATTACTAGGCAATATCTCATTAGTTGCAACAGTTTTAAAATTTCTAACTATATAAAATTTCAATGCAATATGACATGCTGAATGGTTCCCTAACTGAGCTCCTAAAATATTGCAAAAATAACTCAACTTTTATTTTTTTAGAAATGACTGGGTTAAAAATCTTAAATACAAAAAAGGATGTGTACATATGTAGTCTAATTTTAATAATTCTTATGGGAAAAAGACAAACGGCCACATCATTTCTGTATTATTTAATATTTATGTTACAATGAGAACCACGCGTTGAGATTTCGATAAGGCGTTTTATTTTGATAGAAATATTTCCTTTTCTTGCGAATGGATAATAAGCAGATTTGAAGAGAGAGAGAGTAGAACCCAACACACCAGAGACTGTACAGATCCAGAAGAGAAGGAGAAGATTCAAGCAAGAACGCTGTGATTTCAAGGTAATAACTTTTATTGACTACATCATCGACTGCAAAATTAATTTCTGTTACACAGAGGAATTTGTAACTAATTTGCCTTTATTAATTTCTGGTTTAGCAAATGTGTATTTGGTGAAGTGATAACAGAGACAATGGCGGTCGCAGCCTCCAGTGTCAACGGACTCATCCTCACTCCGATATCCAAAGCCGACGAGAACTTCCATAGACCCACCGAACTCAAAGCTTTCGATGATACCAAAGCCGGTGTTAAAGGCCTAATCGACGCCGGAATTTCTGAGATTCCACGCATCTTCTACAGCCCACCGGACGATGATGACTCCGACAATGTTTCCGGCCGAACCCAGATCCAGATTCCGGTGATAGACATGGAGCACGTCAACAAAAATTCACTCAAACGCAAATACACCGTCGACAAAATCCGAGAGGCGTCAGAGAAATTGGGTTTCTTCCAACTGATTAACCACGGGATTCCGGGGAGCGTTCTTGAAGAGATGAAAGATGCGGTTCGGAGATTTCACGAACAGGACACTGAAGTGAGGAAACAATTGTATACCCGCGATCTCACCAAACCTTTGATTTACAACAGTAATATAAGGCTGTATAGCTCACCCACCACCGATTGGAGGGATACGTTTGCGTACATAAGTGCTCCGAATCCCCCAAATCCGCTAGAATTGCCTGAAATTTGCAGGTAAATGTGCTGATTTTTGACCCAAAAATAAAAGCCCTTTTAAACAGAGACGATTCCTGATGTAATTAACCTCTGTTTGTGCAGAGGTATTCTAGTGGATTACTCGAATCGGGTGATGGAAATTGGGAAATTGCTGCTTGAACTGCTGTCGGAGGCTCTTGGGCTGAATCCAAATTACTTGAACGAGATTGGGTGCAGCGAAGGGCTTGCACTTTTGGGGCACTATTACCCAGCATGCCCACAGCCCAAATTGACCATCGGAACATCGGAGCACACCGATAACACCTTCATCACGGTGTTGTTGCAGGACCACATCGGCGGCCTCCAGTTTCGTCATCCGAACAAGTGGGTGGACATGCCCCCTGTTGCCGGAGCATTTGTCGTCAACATCGGAGATCTTATGCAGGCAAGTCTCTGCAGAATCTCTCTTTTTTTTGTGTTGAATTGAAGGAACTTTTCTGGGTGGTAATTGGGTTTGATTTGGATGCAGCTAATAACGAACGACAAATTCAAAAGCATTAAGCATAGGGTTGTAGCGAACACTGAGGGTCCAAGAATATCAGTGGCGGGAATTTTTTCGACGCTTGGTTTAACAACATCCAAATTGTATGGACCCATTAAGGAGTTGCTGTCAGAAGAAAATCCTGCAATATACAGAGAAGCCACAATCAGAGACATCAATAGTCGGTTCCGTTCGGACAAGCCTGGAATTTCTACTTTACAGCATCTCAAACTGAGTCAAGGAGATGTTTAGTTTAGTTGTGGGAGGAAACTAAAGGAAACAGAGTGATGGACTCTATGTTGTGTTCTTCGTTTGATTGAAAACTTCCCATCTTAATAATTTGTGTGTTATAATATAATTTGAGCCACATTCAGATTAATATATGTTATTATAGTTTGAGCCAGATTCAGAGATTAGTTTTTGTTATTATTTGTACTCAAAAGATGACACCTGTGGAGAGGTAGATATAATATTTATAGCGCGTAAACAACTCTAATTTGGCAAAACAATTCCAAGCTTGTGACAAATGACTACCTCTACCCAGAATTATACAGCTGCACTCCTCCCAAACATGAAATTTTGTTGCCCGCCAAAACGAGCATAGATTAGCTATAATTGATACCTGACATATATCTTCAATCAAGAGGTTATGAATTTCATCTCTCATCCCACATGTTCTACTAAAAAAGGTTGCTTCCCTAAAAGTTGTGTCAATTTAAATATAACTCAATTAATTATCGTATATATCTTCGATAGCTCGAACCTCTACCTCACATTTTATATTGTTTTAACTCAAATATATATAAGGCCTAATAATAAAATGGAGGCCCAAGCCCAACAAATTTAGTCAGAAACCACCACAGCATAAGCTCCAGAATATCCTAAGTGATAACCATTTTTTTTGGATGTGTATATTGATAGGCTATTTAGTAATTATATAAAAATGATTGAATGGTATAAAATTTATAGTTTTGTCATGAAACAACTTCAGATGGTACCCATCACCCAATTTACTAATATATTTTGTATCTCACCTTAATATTAATTAATTTTTAAAATCCAGAATTGGTTACTTGAAAAGTTATATTTTAAATCCTTTAAATTTTACCTAATTAGACTTTCCAAAATTGATTACTTGCAAGCTATGCTCGCTTAGAAATTTGATTATAAAATTTGTGTTAAAAAATTAAAATAGTTACTCTTTAAAAGTATAAAAAATACGTTTTAGAAATATTAAAATGAACAAAAAAAAATTATGGTTTTAAAAGCAGAGTACAGAAATGAAGAAAACAAAAAGTGAAAATAGTATTTAATCCAATTATTTAAAACGTTACGATGAGGAGGGCTGGCCCAGACCCAGGCTGTCTTTATAACCAAAGTGAAGTAGAAGTAGAATTTGTTCATTGAAGCCAATCGAAAATGTCGGACGCCTCCGGAGTGACCGTTCTCGCCCTCACGCCGGCATCCAAAGCCGACGCCAACTTCCACAGACCCACCGAACTTAAAGCTTTTGACGATACTAAGGAGAGCTAAATTTTTCTGCATCTAACCTTTTATTTTATGTTCAAAATTTTGGTTCATTATTCTCTGCGATTCTGTGTCAAATCAAATGACTTATTTTCAAACGTGCTTTTTTTTTCCCAACATTTGGTAGTGAAAATGGAAAATCTTGTGCTTACTTTGTTGGTTGCCTGACTTCTTCATCATATGGATATATACCTTTGGACATAAAAAATTGTTACAATATTATTATTATTTTTATGGCAAATCTATAGACTTTTTATCTTAACCAAAATTTGTTTATATTTATCGATAAAATTTTAATAACTTTATTTTCCAAATTGTAATAAATTAATTGACTTTAGTAGATAAGAAAATTGAATTTATCCTTACGGATGAGATTTTTCATACATGATGGATAAGTTGTATTTGAATTTGGGAACCAAGTGTAATCTCATTTGGAGGAAATCATTAAAATATAAAGAGCATCAACGTTGTGTTGTTATTTACACTGTTCCAAAATAAATGTATTATTTATCAATGAGTTGGTTGAACACGACAATCAATTTATTGGATCCATTTAAAATCTTGAATTCCTAATTTGATTAGAATATGCACATCTTCTGATTATCTAATTTTTTTTTTATTCAGTTCTAAACGTAGGAAGACTCGAACTTGGATATTGGATGTCAACATTCAAACCTGTTGCTACTACACAACAACATTTAAATGTGCATCTAATTATCTTGAACATAACTCAGTTAATTGCATGGAAGTCGAGATTGATCTCCCACATTTTTTAATTGTTGTAATAAAAAAATATTATCTAAATCTAATTTTAAAGTATTTTTAAAGGGACGAAGACGAAGACAAAAACGGACAAACGGCCCCATCATTTTTGTATTTATTACGTTACAAGGGGAACCACTGCCCCAAAGCAGTTTGAAAACACGAAGCGGTTGCATCCAATCCAAGCACCGAGACAATGGCGGTTGCAGCCTCAGAAGTCAACGGACTCGTCCTAACTCCGATATCCAAAGCCGACGGAAACTTCCATAGACCCACCGAACTCAAAGCTTTCGACGACACTAAAGCCGGCGTTAAAGGCCTAATCGACGCCGGAATTTCTGAGATTCCACGCATCTTCTACCGCCCACCGGACGATGATGACTCCGACAATGTTTCCGGCCGAACCCAAATCCATATTCCGGTGATAGACCTGGAGCACGTCAACAAAAATTCACTCAAACGCAAATATACCGTCGACAGAATCCGAGAAGCGTCGGAGAAATTGGGTTTCTTTCAACTGATTAACCACGGGATGCCGGCCAGCGTTCTTGAAGAGATGAAAGATGCGGTTCGGGAATTTCACGAACAGGACACGGAAGTGAGGAAACAATTCTATGCCCGCGATCTCACCAAACCTTTGATTTACAACAGCAATTTCGATCTGTACAGCGCAGCCACCACCAATTGGAGGGATACGGTTGGGTACATAGGTGCTCCGAATGCCCCAAATCCGCTAGACTTGCCTGAATTTTGCAGGTAATGCGCTGATTTTGGGCTCAAAAACAAAAGCCAAAGAGAATATTCCTGATGTGTTGTAACCTCTGTTTGTGCAGAGATATTCTAGTGGATTACTCGAAACGGGTGATGGAAATTGGGAAATTGCTGCTTGAATTGCTGTCGGAGGCTCTTGGGCTGAACCCAAATTACTTGAACGACATAGGGTGCAGCGAGGGGCTGGCACTTGTGTGCCACTATTACCCACCATGCCCACAGCCCAAATTGACCATCGGAACATCGGAGCACACTGATAACGACTTCATCACGGTGCTGTTGCAAGACCACATTGGCGGCCTCCAAATTCGTCATCAGAACAAGTGGGCTGACGTGCCACCTGTCGCCGGAGCGTTGGTCGTCAACGTCGGAGATCTTATGCAGGCAAGTCTGTGCAGAGTCTCCATGTTTTTGTGTTCAATTGAAATGAATTGAAGGAAAATTTGTTGGTGGTTTTGGTTTTGGATGCAGCTAATAACGAACGACAGATTCAAAAGCGTTAAGCATAGGGTTTTAGCAAACAGCGAGGGCCCGAGGATATCAGTGGCGGGGATTTTCTCCACGCTTTCTTTACCGACCTCCAAATTGTATGGGCCCATAAAGGAGTTGCTGTCAGAAGAAAATCCTGCGATATACAGAGAAACCACAGTTAGAGACTTCAATATTCAGTTCCGTTCAGACGGCCTTGGAACTTCTACTTTGCAGCGTTTCAAGCTGAGTCAAGCAGATAATGTTTAGTTGTTTTTAAGGAAGATAAAGGAAACAGAGTGATGGATTCTATGTTCTTCGTTTGATTGAAAAATGTCAAAGCAGTTTGAGTTCCCATCTTAATTGGTTATATGGTGTTTCTGATGTAAAATTCAAAGATAAATTCCAATAACAAAATTGTTGTCAATTTCTTAACTTATATGCATATTTTTTTCTTGCTGTTGTCGTAGTTGTAGGCCAGTCTTTTGTTAATAATCAAGATATATAACATCAATCCACATGTCAAAACTGATGCATGCTCTAATTATTTGGTAGGATATTTGTTCATAGCAATTTCATAAGTTTGACTAGTAATATTTCAATATTGCTCTCCAGAAGGTTCATCCATGGAAGGAATCAAGACCTAAGATTAGGCTTCAAGGCATAGTTGATAGACACTAGGTGAATATTATTTTGTATTATCACTAGTTGGTACCAATAAGATGAAGGATGCCAGATTAGCAAAGGTTGGTCATACGTTCAAGGACACTAATTGCTCCTACTTTTTCAATAAGAAATGATATAAAAAGTACTTGGAAGCAGTGATCGAGTACCATATGTTACAAGTTGAAATAATATATGCCAATACAAAAACCTAACCTTCAACAAAAGGGTATCTTTACTCGAAGATGATATATGTGGGTATGATAATAATACTCTTCGGAAAAAACTATCCTCGTGAAGATAAATTCTTACGTGGTTTAGTAATATATAGACAAGTATTTTTTTTTTTAATTTTGCATAATTGTACGTGATCCATTTATCTATATGTTACTGACCCCGTCCATTTAACAACCTAAATTACTAATATTCAAATTATAATTTAACCATCCAAATTCCTTCTTGCTAGATACGCACCAATAGATATAAGGAACGCCTAACAATAAAATAGTGGCACAAGCCCAACAACTTTAGCCAAAACATTTAGTTTAGGATAACATCAGCCACCTAATTACATCAATGTCTAGAAATTCAAATATTTACAGATTTGTGAAGATATAAACTTGTTTATCATATACTCATATTTATATATTTTTAATAAATTAATTAAACTCTAAATCTTAAATCTAAACCAATAACTAGACCCACTATATACAATTTTTCTTTTTAATAAAAGAAAAAAAATGAAACCTTAAACCCTATAAACTTTAGACTTTAAAAAAATAATATACACCGAAAAATTAAGTCATTGATTAGTTACTATATTTGTTTAATTATTCTTAAAATTTTATCATTAATTTCAATATTTACATTAAATGACCATCAATACATTTTAAAATATAATAATAAATGTAATATAATGACATTTATTAAGGAAAAATTAGAATTTCTTTTAATCTTGGAAATCTAGATTTGTAAATATTTGAAAAAAATAGATATTTGTGAAATATCATGTATAATATGACCCACTATTAACATAGTAATACTTGCATATATGACAAAAAAAAAGAGGTTATGAGAGTAAAGAAGTGATATCCGACGATAAAAAGAAAATTATGTAAAAAGTCTAAATAGGCATACAAATTTTTTTTTAAGTTATTATATTTGAAAATATTTATTTACAAATATGATAATATTATTCTAATCAATATGTCAAAGTACATACATATCAAGAGAGGTGGAGATTCAAATTCATGACTTCTTGATCACCGTAGTTCATGTTGTCAATATTACAAGGTAAATTTTCATCCATTAAATTTTTTTTCCATACAATATTTCATTTAATACATGATTTATGATATAATGTTTTTTTTTTTTAAAGTAGACATAAGGCTTGAATTGTAATGATAAAAAGATATCATACTATTAAACATGAAAAAGTATCAATGATTTAAAAAATTTATGATAAATTTAATACATTGATAGAAATGTCAATTAATTCTGCAGCATTTAAAAGGACCATATAGCTCCACCGTGCATGAATAATTTAAACCACACATTCTACAACAACTTTCCTAGGCCTTGCGAGAAATGGCTAATTTTTCAAATATTTTGTTTGATTATTCTCCCCTTCACCAGTTATTTATCGACTTATTGTAAATAGTTGGTCAAACACGCCACCTTTCCTAGAAAATTCATTTTCTTTACCTTCAATTCCATTGGTTAAAACTCCAACTTTCTAATTTTACTTACGTTTATTTATAATTTTGATATCTAACCTTTATGAGTTCTATCTTCTTAAAAAACACAATTTTATGTTCTAACTCTATTAGTTTAATGCTTTTCACATGATTATTCTATTAAATTGATTGAAGTTTAGAGGTTTCAACTTTCAACCTCAAATAAATGTCAACTATTTCTAAATTATATTTATATTGACAAAATTAATTTATTGAAATTGCTTCGTAAACGTTAAACCTATAATGTTGATAAAAAAGACGTAATAAGTTTAAATAAAAATTTTAGACACGTGGAACTGGTAAACATCCTAGGAGAAAAAGAAAAGAGTCTCCAAGCTCATTTTTCTACTGCTTGCTATAGAGATTAAAATAATCACTTTTTAATAAAAGTACAAGATGAACATTCTAAAATTATAGGGACTAAAATGACTCAAGTTAAAAATGTAGGCATTGAGATAAATATTTTAAAATACACGAACCAAACTAATATTTAGATTTAAAAATAAATAAAGACCTACAGGTTGAATAAATAGTAATAATTCAATACATTTGATTTGGTTAGATATCTATAAATGAGAAAGTTATCTTAATCCATCCAGTTAAACATTTTAATAAATGGGTAGTTTTTTCATATTTACGATGATATGATAATAGAAAATCCTATATTTCAACCCATTTACAGCTCCCTAGACGTGAGAGGTTGGATCATTCCCGTTGAACCAAAAAGAAACCAAATTGGAAATCCCAAACTCAAAAGATTCATCCATCTATTATCTACTTGTCCAGATTCCAGTCTAATTTTGAAAATTCATGAGCAGGACGATGAACAGTCAACCTGCCCTATCATTCAGTATCATCGTTTCATTTCTGTATTTATACCGTTACAGTTGCAACCACTGCCCACAGCACTTCACACTTTTAAAAGAAAACACTTGTTTTGATTTGGTAGACACAGGAAGTGAAGCAGATCGATAATGGCGGTCGCAGCCTCTGGAATCAATGGACTCATCCTCACTCCCCTATCCAAAGCCGACGAAAACTACCATCGACCCACCGAGCTCAAAGCTTTCGACGACACTAAAGCCGGCGTTAAGGGCCTAATCGACGCCGGAATTTCCGAGATTCCTCGAATCTTCTACCGCCCACCGGAACACGATCATGACTCCGACAACGTTTCCGGCGAATCCCAAATCCGCATTCCAGTGATAGACTTAGAAGGCGGCGAACGGAAAGACATCGTGGACCGAATCCGAGAAGCATCGGAGGAATTCGGGTTTTTCCAAGTAATTAACCACGGGATTCCGGCGAGCGTCCTTGAAGAGATGAGAGACGGCGTTCGCAGGTTTCACGAACAGGACACGGAAGTGAAGAAACAGTACTATACTCGCGACATCACCAAGCCTTTTGTTTACAACAGTAATTTCGATCTCTACACCACTGCCACGGCCAATTGGAGGGATACTTTTAGCTCCGTTTTTGCTCCCAATCCTCCCAATCCACAGCAATTGCCCCAAATTTGCAGGTACATTAATTCTATCTAACCTCTGTTTCTGCAGAGATTTTATCTAACCTCCCTCTGTTTGTCTTTGTGCAGAGATATAATGGTGGATTATTCGAAACGAGTGATGGAAATTGGGAAATTAGTGCTGGAATTGCTGTCGGAGGGTCTGGGCCTGAGCCCAAATTACTTGAACAATATCGGGTGCAGTGAGGGGCTTGCATTTGTATACCATTACTACCCATCATGCCCACAGCCGGAATTTGCCATCGGCATACCGGAGCACAGCGACACCGATTTCATCACCGTACTGTTGCAAGACCAAATCGGTGGCCTGCAGATTCGTTACAGGAATGAGTGGGTGGGCGTGGCTCCGGTCGACGGCGCGTTAGTGGTCAACATCGGAGATCTTATGCAGGCAAAACAAAAATCCTCTCTGTTTCTGCTTCTACTTTCTGGCATCATAAAAAAAGAATGAACCCATTATATGATATAGCGATGCGACTGCATCTAACTAATTGGTTTTGTTGTTGTTGAATGCAGCTAATTACAAATGACAGGTTCAAAAGCGTCAAGCATAGGGTTGTGGCAAACGAGGATGGTCCGAGAATATCGGTGGCGGGCATCTTCTCGAACGTGGCTTCGCCGAGCTCCAAAGTGTATGGGCCCATAAAGGAGTTGCTTTCAGAACAAAATCCTGCAATGTACACACAAACCACAATCAGAGACTTCAATATTCAGTTCCGTTCAGACGGCCTTGGAACTTCTACTTTGGAGCATTTCAAGCTGACTCGAGCAGAAGCAGATCTTTAAATTGCAAGGAACAGAACACTCCAGCAGGACTTTCGGGTCATTAAATAATGTTATAATATGTTTGTATCAAAGTATCATTTGTGTGTTAATAACAACCTTGGAAAATGGAAGCTGTATCAATTTCATAGCTTAATTTACATTTGTTTTGCTTAAGATTTAAAAAAAAAAAAGTGTAAGAGTGATGAGAATGAGTTAATTAAAAAAAAATTTATGGGTAAGTAAAACTTTTTAGGGAGGAAAAATTATTATTGGTTGGAAGTGTTAGATCAACCAAGAAGAGGATCCAGAACAAAAAATGGAGAAACAAGAAAATAAAATATATCTAAGGCATTGAAGAAGAAAATTTAACTAAACAAAAAATTTGAGAGATTAAATGATGTAAGGAAAAGTGAGAGATGAAAGTTTACCCTTCAAAGATTGTCGACGATAGCGTTGTTGTGGCGTCAGAGGGAAAAAGAGTCAGATTAATATCGATTCAGTCGGATCGATTTTTCGACCACATTTGTACACCCCTACACGCCACCACGTCACCTCCTCTCTTGTCAAACAACATTTCTATTTTGAAAGTATCATGTGGATCATACTTTGTGTATTTAAATGAGTTGTATTTGATCTCGTTAGATGCTGAGAATTCAAATACTAATAAAGATTTGCTTGTCTCACCAATCTCTATGCGTCCACTTGTTTTACTCTCTCTTGCATTTAATTTTTGATTCCTTCTTCATTTATTATTCTTTATTAAAAAATTCTAGACTCTTCCTGCTGTCCCTAAATTAATTAGCCCAACTATTATTTGCAGAATTTAAACCGCACTTTTTTAATAGAAATTTGAGGTGAGGGTACCCACGATCATAATATCTTATAGAATGGATTTTATTTAGGTTAAATTATAAATTTAATGTTCAATTTTTAATGAGTCTAAGCACTATAAAATTGGAGATTGAGATTTTAAAATCACTTCACAGAAAAATCACTTACAATGGTTCTCCAAGTCCAGGCGGTGGATGGAGTGGACAGAGTTAGCTTAACTCCGGCGTCCAACGCCGACGAGCCCTTCGACAGAGCCGCCGAACTGAAACTTTTCGACGACACCAAAGCCGGAGTTAAAGGCCTAGTCGACAGCGGCCTAACTGAGATCCCGCGGATATTTTACCGGCCGCCGGATCCCTGCCAGACCCATGTTTCCGGCAAAGCGCAACTGAGCATTCCGGTGATAGACCTCGAAGGCATCGACGGAGATCCATCGAAACGCAGAGACGTGGTGGAGAGAGTCCGAGAAGCGTCTGAGAAATGGGGTTTCTTCCAACTGCTCAACCATGGGGTTCCGGCCAGTGTTGTGGAGGAGATCAAAAATGGGACACGCAGATTTTACGAACAAGATACCCAAATCAAGAAGCAACACTACACTCGCCACAACACAAAATCCATGGTTTACAACAGTAATTTCGATCTCTACACCGCACCCGCCGCCAATTGGAGAGACACCTTCCTCTGTTTCATGGCCCCTAATCTTCCCAACCCTCAAGACCTGCCCGAAGTTTGCCGGTAATTTGCTAATTGTCCATGATCCCTTCATTTTCGCTTACCTTATATAGCTTAATTCAGATGGGTTTGTCAATTTGAAGTAAAGATCGAACCTTTTTAGGTTTCTTAATTTGTGGGTGTTTGTTGCAGAGAGATCTTATTCGAGTACTCAAAGGAAATGAAGAAACTGGGGAGAGTTTTATTCGGGCTACTGTCGGAGGCTCTTGGCTTGAACACGAACCACCTGAGCGACATGGAATGCGACAAGGGTCTAGGTATTTTGTGCCATTATTATCCAGCATGTCCGCAGCCAGAGCTCACTTTGGGCACGACAGAACACGCCGACAATGATTTCTTGACAGTTCTTCTTCAAGACCAAATCGGAGGCCTTCAAGTTCTTCACGAGAACAAATGGGTTGAAATTCCCCCAACTCCCGGTGCCTTCGTCGTCAACATTGGCGATCTTCTGCAGGCAATGCGATCTTCTGCAGCATTCAAATTTATGGACCCCATTTGATCAAATTATTATTGTCTAACTAGAATTGAATTTTTGCAGCTGATTTCAAACGATAGGTTCAAGAGCGTGGAACATCGAGTGCTGGCGAATCGGGAAGGTCCGAGAGTGTCAATTGCTAGCTTCTTTGGCATCGGGGTTTATCCGACTTCCCAAGTTTATGGACCCATAAAGGAACTGTTGTCGGAACAAAATCCTCCCAAGTACAGAGAAACCACGCTCAAAGACTTCTACCTTCACTTCAATGGCAGAGGCTTGGATGGAACTTCTGCTCTGCAACATTTCAGGCTCCGTCCCGACGGTGAAGCTGATGCTTAATTGCAGCGAATTAGTCAATCTTCTGAAATTCAGAAAATCTTTCAGAGTCCATTGTTTCTTAATTTTGGAAATCCTTTTAGAAGTATTCGTGCCATGTTTTCTCTTCTCATCAAAATTATTACTTGATGGCTTATGTAATGACTGATTATTTTAGTCTTACACTGCACCAATATGATTATATGAACCGAGCAGACAGATCTAGATTCACAATATGATCAAAACATCAAAATCTCCAACAACACTCACAATGGGATTCTTGAATGTAAAATCTCCAGGTAGAAATGTTTGTGTAATTCTGTATATACGGTGAGGTGGAGATATAGTAATTGCAGAGTTGTATAAGTTCGATAGTTCGAGGCACATTATTCCCAAACTTTCTTCGTGAGAGTAACATGCGAAATCAAATTGTTGATCCAATGATGACGTATCTTCTGATGAAATTCGCCCTTCATCAATTGCAGTCTCTAACTTGATGTTTATAATCTTTAAATTCATTTATTTCCCCGGGTCACTGGGTGAGTGGTCTAAGTTCCGTCTGTAATTTGCCCACTCGCAGGATCAGTTTTTCAAGTGCAACCAATGGATTTGATGGCACAGCCACGTCATAACCTCAAAATATTTGTCCCCACTAGACAACTTGGCATTTATAAAACCAGCCATTTTGATTGAACTCCTCGGAATTCAAAGTTGAAACTCTGGATTTGCTTCACAGGAGAAGTAAAATGGTGGTCGATAAACTCAACCTCACGCCGGTCTCCAAATTTGATGATACCTTCGACAGAGCTTCGGAACTAAAAGCGTTCGATGAAACTAAAGCCGGTGTTAAAGGACTGGTCGACGCCGGTGTAGCCGAAATCCCAAGAATATTCTACCGGCCACCCAAAAAAGACAGTTCCGATTCCGACAAGAACTCGGTTCCCGGCGAAATCCAACTCGGTGTTCCGGTGGTGGATCTCGAAGACATCGATATAGACCCCTCGAAACGCAGGGATGTGGTCGACAAAATCCGAGAGGCGTTGGAGACGTGGGGGTTTTTCCAGTTGATAAACCATGGGATTCCGGCGAGTGTTACGGAGGAGATGATAAATGGGGTCCATGGATTTCACGAACTAGACACTGAAGTGAGGAAACAATACTATACGCGAGACACCACCAAGCCTTTGGTTTACAATTGCAATTTCGATCTGTACAGCGCCCCGGCTGCCAATTGGAGGGATACGTTCTTCTCTTACATGGCCCCAAATCCTCCCAATCCACAAGACTTGCCCGAAGTTTGCAGGTAAAAAAAAAAACCTGCTGATTCTTATCTCTCTGTTTTGTACCCTGTTTTCTTCATTTAGGAGTGAAATTTGGAAGAATTAGAGAGAAAACTTTGAAAGCTTAACTCTATTTTCTTGTCCACGGTGCCCTGCTTCGGTTGATAAATGTCTGTTGTAGAGACATCTTGGGTGATTATTCGAAACGAATAGCGAAGCTTGGGGAAGTGATATTTGGGCTGCTTTCGGAGGCTCTTGGTCTGAACTCAACCCATTTGGTAGACTTGGACTGCAACGAGGGGCTGGCTGTTCTGTGCCATTATTATCCGGCATGTCCGCAGCCGGAACTGACCATCGGCGCCACCGAGCACTCCGACGATACCTTCGTCACGGTGCTGCTGCAGGACCATATCGGAGGGCTTCAGGTGCTTCAACAGAACAAGTGGGTGGATGTTCCGCCGGTTCCCGGCGCCTTCGTCGTCAACGTCGGCAGCTTATTGCAGGCAAGTTTTCGACTTTTCTTCTCCATGCATAAAAATGGTGGGAAATTAATGTAGTTTTTGTTTTGGGTTTGTTTTGCAGCTGATAACGAATGACAAGTTCGTGAGCTCGGAGCACAGAGTGGTGGCAAATCACGTGGGTCCGAGAGTATCGGTGGCAAGTTTCTTTACAACCGCCACACAACAGACCTCGAAACTTTATGGACCTATCAAAGAATTGTTGTCGGAAGAAAACCCGGCCAAGTACAGAGAAACCACAGCTAGAGAATTCAGTCTCTACTTCGCTGAAAAAGGGTTGGACGGGACTTCTGCTCTGCCAAATTTCAGGCTTTAATTCATTACAAGCTCATTGAAATTACTGATAACTTGTGTTTGTGACATGATGATGATGAATAAATAATTGGAACAAATCCCTTCTTCTGAGTTTTGATAGATACCCTATCATACTTTAGCTGTCCACTGATCTTGTCATTAATGTTCTCTTCTTGCACAGCCTTGACCAGAAAACTGGTGATGTAAGAAGCACCATAGTTGGCGATGATAACAAATGAGGTAAGTTGTAGCCTAAGCACTCTCAAGAAATTAATCCTCGTAACCAAATCAATCTAGATTAACAATTGAAATTGATTCCATTGACAGTCCGGCAGAATCAACAGGAAGAAAAAAATCAGGTAGATTATTTGATACTATTTTCTGGGGTTTGGCTTGTTATAATACGGKATGTGATTGAAATTTATCTTTTCTTTGTTTCTATCACTGAGACACCTGAAGGACCGACCACTACTTTAATTGTACTCGTTATTTTTCGAAAGTATATTT